GGGCTCCCTGCTCAGCAGGGAAGCCTGCTTCTCCCTCTCCCACTTCCCCTGCTTGTGTTCCCTCTCTCGCTGTGTCTCTCTCTGTTAAATAAATAAATAAAATTAAAAAAAAAGAGAAGAAAAAGAAAGGAAGGAAGACAGAAGTCTGGCAAGGGAAAGTCGAAAGATATAAAGATATTGGTATTTCCTGTCAAGAGTAAATCTGAAATAAATTCAACAAGCATGTTCTTCAACCTCCAGTTTGCCAACATCAGATTAATCGTGTTTGCGCACAGCGTGGCATCAAGGCTCTGTCCTCAGCTTGCCAAGGTTCAAAGCCCAGCCCCCACTTGTTAGCTGTAACTCAGAAGCAGTTCACTGAACTCTCTAAAACAGCATTTTTGTCTGTAAATGGAGATATCATAGTTCCTACCTGGTCATGACTAAAATAATTGGAGGAAAGCACTTAGCATCATGTGTCCTGTATCCTAAGTACTCAAAATGTATGTGAGATTATGATTACATAAGACTGAGGTTAAACAGGAAAAAAAAAAATCTTCTCTTTATTTGTCTTCACAAAACCATGAATATGCACCTCACTGACCATCCTTCCTTTCCCAAAGGCCACTATCCCCCCACTCCATTTTGTTCCCAGGAAAGCTACTAGGTAAGTATTCAAGGCTTTTGTAGTTCTCTTCCAGGTGCTGGGATGACAGAGAAAGCAACTTTTATTGTTTAGACAGTTTCCAGGTGATCCACAGCCACCTCCTTCAGGGATCCCACCCTGTTCTCTGGAAGGGGGGGGTGGTTAAGTGACTCTTTTTGTGCTCCTCTAGCTTTCAAGGTTTCCCTCTCTCATGCCCATTTCCTGCACTGCTCTTGCATATTTATTTCTGTGCCTTGTCCACCAGGCTGTGAGCTACTTGAGGATGGGCAGTATGTCTCAGTTATCTGTGGATTCCGACCTGCCCACGTAGCACCTGGAACAGAGCAGGTGCTCCAAAACTGGTAGGCCAATTAGCTGTGCTATCTCCATTTTACAGATACGAATACTCAAGTTTAGATAGGTCAAGCAAGGCTTGGTACATGTGCTTTGCTGTGTCGTGTCCGGAATGTGTCTCCAGCCTGCTGTACCTAGAAGAACCCTACTCCTTCAAGGCCCAAATCAAAGAACACCTCTGTGGGGTCTTGTCTGCCCCCTTCTTGGCTGGTGGAGGTAACACTTCCCTCTGCTTCCCTAGCCCTCTGAATGTATCTCTACTGAAAAGATTTTCCTCTTCTTCTTCTGGCTATGAAGCCCCAGCGGACAAGTTCTACATCTGATTCTATTCTATCTCCTTCACAGGTAGCTTGTGAGCACGCAGTCCAGGTGATGTTCTACCTGCTAGGACACACAGGCATGCCTGACATCATCTCTGTCAGTTAGGATATTCTGAGTTCCACTGGATGGAAACCCAACTCAGATGAAATTTATTGGTTAATTAATGAAAATTCCCAGCATAGATTTCGGATTTCTGTCAGTCTCTACTTCTTTTGTTTCTTGTCTTCTATGTCAGCTTTACTCTTTAAAAAGGCTATGATTACTTTATGGTGGTTCTTGGTGGCCTTGTGCCTGCAACATCCCAGATTCCAGTCCAGCAGAAAGAGATTATAGCCTTCTCGAGTTACAATAAGAAGCCCAATTTCAATGGTTCTGGAAGGGTCCCATTTACATGGCAAAACCAATCACTTTGTTGATAAGTCTGTGAAGCTCCAAATGGCTAGAAGTGGATCGAATGCTGGGAGGGAACTCAGTCTCCAAGTGAACCATGCACTAAGAGAAGGGAGAGGAGGCTCCCCAGGGGCACCACCCCAGTGCCACCAAGGAACAGCAGATAGATCCTGACTATTTTCATTGAGCTTGCAAGCAAGTGGGGAAATCTAGAGAAAGCAAACAGCAGTTTTATTTATTTTTATTTTTTTAAATTTTATTATGTTATGTTAGTCGCCATACAATACATCATTAGTTTTTGATGTGGTGATACACGATCCATTGTTACAAAGAGCAATTTTAATTCAGTACGTTAAGATTGCTGATGGAAATGCATGAGGGATAATGGGGGTACAGAGAAGGAGCAGCTGAGGGCCACGGGGGAGTTGAAGGAGTCAAGGAGGGCTTCTTGAAGGAAGTGACAGTTGAACTAAACCAAACTAGATACTAAGTAAATGGCTACTGATGCAATGAACTAGTGAATACCTTATATCAAATCACACAATCATATCTTTGTAGAATTTGAATTTAAACCAGTCTCTGTTCACTGTTCAAGTCTAACGATTTTAGCAGTTTGTCAAGCTGGACTTGTTTCTGTAAGGAAATATTTTCCAAATTCCACATCAAATCAGAGTCAGCTAAGAATACAAACACACTTTAGATTGAGTGTTCAGCTGAACCCACAATAACTTACTGAATTCACAGTATACATGAAATACTGTACATTCGCAGTGACATCATTCACAACTGCTATATTTTGCATTGCCAATCTTCAGTACTCCACCCACATCATGAACTAAGTAGGTTTTGTTAGCTGACTCAATCTTCATTCATAGCAGAAATAGAAGAAATAAATACATTCACAGCACAGAGTCATTCCAAGTTTTAAACAACTGCTGCAAAATTGAGCTTTTGAATCATTTGGCAGAAATTAAGCTGAGGTCTGTTTATCCTTTCCTTTAGATATTTATGTGATCGTCCTTAAGCCAGCTCTGATTTCTTTTAGGTGACTTGAGCAATACTCAGGTTCACGATTGGTTTAACTCCTATGATTATAACTGCTGTAGGATTTCGTGTCATTTCCACTGTGGGTCTATAACACTGAAATATTTTACCAATAGCAGAGTTTTGCAAGGACAAATAGTTCATAATATATGTTCTCTTTTTTGCCCTCTAGAGACTCCCAGTATGCAAAGTTGCAATTCTCTTTCCCCGCCCCATTTTAGGCAAAACATTGTGTTCTGGCTAGACATGGTTTTTAAATCTTGGCTCTGACACCTCAGAGCTGTGTAACCTTGGCCAAGTTTCATCATCTCTCAGTCTTGGTCTTCTCGCGTGCAGAGAAATGACAGTGGTCCCTACCTCCCTCACAGTTTGTTGTGTTGATTCAATGAGGTATGAAGACTCTTTGTGAATTATAAGGCACTCTACAAATTTTAGGCATGATCCTCATCATCACCAGAATGAGATTTCTGACATTAGCATATATTCCACAAAATCTTTCACCAGCATTACAGTAAAAGGCAAGCCCCAAACTGTTTATGTAGCATAATCATTTCTTAAAGACAGAAAAAAAATTATTTGCTAAAATTATCTAATGAATGAATCTGTACAACATTTGATAATTTTATCTTGTTACTTATGGCAAATTGCTTGAACTGACATCCATTTGAAAATGTGTTTTGTGGGGTTTCTTTGGTGTATAAAAAAGAAATGTTATTACAATTTTGTTGTTCCAAGATTATCAGCAATGGTTTCTAATCCATTTATTTTTATTTTTCCTATTAGAAACCAGTTTGTGGCGAGAGGTCTCCTTTCCAGCAATTCTGCTGGCTGTGTGCTTCATCATCTGCGCATGTGCAAGGTAATTCAGATTTTATTTTCATACAGCAGTGTTTCATAATTAATAAAGCTGTAATTGATTGATAATTTCCTCACCTGATTTGACAATGCATTTTCAGTAGCTCCGTGGTTAAGATTTATTCATTTGCCTGTGCCCCATAAGTGCCCCATTTTCTATCACTTCCCCACTCTCATTATCTCACAAAGTGTACAAAAGACAATGGATGTTGCTAGGAATTAGATTTTATTATATATGGTCCTTCAGTCCTCAGTGACTCCCTGCTACAGATAAAACCTGAGTAACCCTGCTTAGAGTTCAAGGGCACTTGAAGTCCCAGTAAGGGCATGTGGAGTCCCCACGGGGACTCCATTTTCTCATTACATTTTTATATCCTAACATAAAATATGTGCTCCAGGGAAGCCCACTCAGCATCTCAGATCACATAATGCTCTTGCCTGATTATAGGCATGTTTCCATTCTACCCTCTGTCCAGCATGCCATTCTTGTTCTTTTCTTGCCCAAGTCTCTGGGGCAATGGTCAAGTCCCTTCTGTCCTAAGTGTACTCATGCCTCAGGCCTTTGCACTTGCTCTTTATTCTGCCTAGTACAGCCTTCTCTAGAAAGCCTCATAACATGTGTCCTTACTTCTTTCTGGAATCTGTTCAAATGTCACATCATCAGAGAGACCTTCCCTGACAACCCTGTATAAATAGCATACCACTCTCTATCATACACGCCTAGCTTTACTTTTCTTCAGAGCACTTATCACCACATGACTTATTATATGTTCACCTGTTTAAATGTTAATGATCTATCTCTCCCTGCAGGAATGTGAGCTCCATGAGAGTGGAGACATTGTACGTCTCCTTCACATCTGTATCCCCAGTGCCAGGGGCTCATCAGTATTTGTTGAATCAATGAAACAGGGATAAATGGTCCAGACCTGGGGTTTTGGGGTGCTTGAACTCCGATAAGCAAGTGTTGCTTGCTCTCAAGGCCCACCTCTTGAGGGCCAAATACCTCACATCACTTGGGAGAGTTGTGTTTTTAAATACAAAGTCCTGGATCTCAACCCTTGAGATACTAATTTAGATCTAGTGAAAATCTGTATTTTAAAACAAGCATCCCAGATAATTAAGAGGTTTAAGTAGTATCAAGTATTTTTAGATCACAATGAACCAAAAGAACAAAAAGTGGGGGAGGTCCTGTGGTTAAAAATAAGTTTGCAAAAAGCAAAGGAAACAGTCAACAAAACCAAAAGACAACCGACCGAATGGGAGAAGATATTTGCAAATGACATATCAGATAAAGGGCTAGTATCCAAAATCTATAAAGAACTCATCA